TCCGGTTTTGGGTTTAGAGTTAATCGGGTTTAGGGTTTTGGGCTTTTTCAAGCCATCTCCGCCCCTCAAGAGGTGAAGAAGTGGATCCCATCCGCCACTCCAGTCGAATCCGATATCTTAAACCCTAAGCCCCCAACCCCCCCACGGTAAACCCTAAAACCCTAAACCCCTAAACCCTAAACCCTTAAACCCTAAACCCTGAAACCCTACAACCCTAAACTCTTAAACCCTGAAGCCCTAAACCCTAAACCCTGGCTGAGGTGGAGATTCTGACAAAGCTGCAGAGCTCCTGGAAGGTTCTTCGGAAAGGGGATGGCTGATGGGGCGTAGCGCTGTGGGGCTGCATTGCTTTGCGGTGCTGGGAGGTGTAGGGTTAAGGGTTCAGGGTTTTAGGGTTTAGGATTTAGGGCCTCAACCTTAAATCCTAGAATCTTAAATGAGGGTAAGCTTTAGAGATTGCAGGTTCTAGGAACTAGGGTTTAGATCCACCTGAGCTGGAGGCTCCATCACTGTTTCGGATGAGTATAACGGTTAACGAGCTTTACAGCCTGCGGGCAGAAGTAATTTTAAGGTGTAGAATTTAGGGTTTAGGATTTAGGGCGTAGGGTTCAGGGGATGGTATAATCAAAGTCTTCCTTTCACTTGCAAAGCTCAGGATGCAGAGTTCCCGACTTTCTAGGCAGACGTGTCAGTGACATTGATGAGTTTGAGAACAGCAACCCTGCAAGCGTTCCTGTCGGTGGCGACGGCTACCCATAGACCCTAAAGTATTTCCTTTTTGTGGTTCATATATAGAATCCTATAAGGTAATCCCAAAAAGGAGCTACTATGGGGCCTATGGGTACAGCCCAATGACCCAATTCTTGAAATTCTGACTACATGCGAGGAGGGCGTATCGCCTGGGGCTTGCCTTTCGGAGAGGCTGCGATGACTGAAACCCAGAGACTCCAATACCCTTTAATTAAGGAATATACCTTAAATTATAGTAGGATCCCTAATATGATTTAAGGTAGATTCCTTAATTAAGTGGTATTGGAGTCTCTGGGAGGTGCTCCGTTGGCAGGAGTTGGTCCTGGCAATGTCGTGGACCCTGACATCTTTGGGGCGATCGGCATTCTTAGTAATGATAGGTTGTCCCGAGCTTTGCGCACCATAGCAGTGGCACTGCCTGATGCCTCAGCGTGCACGGCAGGCCTGTGGAGTGTGCTGAACTGTGTAACCACGCCCTTTTCCTTGGGTAATTGGATTAGTGAATGACATCCCCTGCTGCCGAAGAAGCATACGTGACATTTCCGACTCTCTGGGCCTCTATGGTTCTGGTACGTCTGAACCCCAAACCCCTTATCTGGAACCTAAAAAATCTATCTTTTTCAAGGTCCTGCATAAGGAAATCACAATAAGGTAGGTCACGTAGGTTTGAGGTACGCCTTACACCCCGAACCGCTAAATCAGTCTTTGCATCTAGATTGTGGGCTGAGTTCTGGAACCCTACGCCCTAAATTCTAAACCCTAAGGCCCAAAGTCCCCATCCGAAGCTCCACTCCCATATTGTCTGGTACATCCCCTTACCCAAAGTCTACTTCATATTCGGCTTATTAGTAGCTAGGGTGATAAAATCAGGTAACTATACTTCTAAGTACCTCTGAGCCCTGATTAAGGTACTTATAACCTTACTTACTACGTCCTATGATCCGCCAAACGGGGCTTCGATTCCTAAGTTTAGGTTTCAGGGTTTAGGGTTTAGGGTTCAGGGCTTAGGGTTTAGGGTTTTGGGGTTTAGGGTTGTTAAGGGTTTTTAGGGTATAGGGTGTAGGGGCACTGAATGGCTTATCGTAGGCGACCCCTACAATTTGGGTATCTGAGCCCGAAAATCTGTCCGACCTCCACAGTACCTCGGTTAACTTGTGCCATGCCACAGACAGCGGAAACCAGCAAGTGCAGAACGGCTTTGGGCCAAAATCCTGTGATACCACAAAGCTTCTGAGCCCCTGTATCCAGACCTTCCAATATTCCTAAATCAAGGAGTATACTTTAAATCACATTGGGGATCCTTCTATATACCTTCAATAATCATATTAGGGATCCTACCATTCAATTAAGGTATGTTCCTTAACAACAGCATATTGGAGGGTCTCTGTAAGACTGGAACCATGAGACCGACAACCCAAATCCCTGGCTTCTGGAGACGTCCTGGCGCGGGGAGGTCGCGCTGACGTCATGTGCCTCCTGGCCAGGGGGTTTAGGGTTTAGGGTTTAGGATGCATTTCAAGCTTCGAACTAAGTAATTAAGTACGGTAGGCCTATTCTTCAGTTCCACGAATAGCAGCCTCTGGATGCTGCAGATGCAGGCGAGCGAGGGTTTGGGGAGGATTTCTGGGCTCAAGGTTGTATGGATCCTCGGCCCTCAACGTTCTAAGCAGCTGGAACCCTAAACCCTAAACCCTAAACGTGGGGCCCGGATTTGGTCGGGTTTGTGGTCTTCATTCTGTAGACCCATGGCTGCCAAAAGCCGGGCTGGCCAGCAGGCTGGTCAATCCACGAGACTCTGAACCCGTTAGTTAACGAAAGCCTAGCAGTATGGGAAAGTATGGCATATGCCTTCCCCGCCAAATGCTGGTAGGAGTCTCGGGTCTAACAGAGGGCAGAAGGGGGTCTGGGCACACGACTCAACTAAATTCCTGAGCCTGGCGTGAGCCTCTGTGCCTCGAACACCGAGGCTTTAATTCAGTGATCATGGCCTTCGCCAACCAGGGGCGTCTGGACGAGGCCGGCACTGCAAGTTCCGTGCTACGGGGCAGTTCTAAAGGGCTTTCGACCCTCCTTGTCTGGGTTCGGTACAGGCATTTAGGGTTAGGGTTCAGGGTTTTGGGTTCATCTTAAATAGACAGCTAAACCCTAAACCCTAAACCGCGAAACCTGTCTTCAAGGTTTAGAGTTGGAGGATTGCAGAAGGTGTAGCGGAGGGCTGTTCCCCGGTGCGGCCAACTCTCCTGCCGATAACGACATTAGCTTTTGCGTGGACGCTTTGTTCGGGGTTCACGACTAAGAGGGTCTATATATATATATATATATACGACTATTATGGAATTAGGTCGCCAAAACCATAATAAGGATGGTCTTTTGGGATCTAATCAATGTTAGTGTCTGTGGACCCTTTGGGTCAGCTAGACCCTAAGCCCTAAAACCCTAAAGCCCGAAGCCCTAAACCCTAAAACTCTAAAGCCCTAAACCCTAAACCCAAAACCCTAAAACCCTAAAACACCCCACAACCCTGAAGCCCTAAACCCTAAAACCCAGAACCCTGCACCCTAAACCCTTCCTGCTGTAACCCTCGGTAACCGAATTAGCCGAGGCTCTAAAGGTTCCCTCTCCGGTTTCCTGTCGAACATCCGGCTTGAGATGGAGAAGCTTACCCTAAGGGTCCAAAGGACCCAACAATGAGATACTTAGGTTTCGGATAGGAGTTATATAGGTTACTTTTTGGGAGAGTATATGATTACTGGGTACTTGGACCCTTGGGGTTAGGGGCTGAGTAGGTAACCCTCAACCTGTTGGGGCTTATATGATCCTACTACAACTCAAGGGGTTGAAGTGGTTTTGCGTGAGGGCTTTTAGGGGTTTACAAAGGTTTATAGGCAAGGGCTACACGGCTACAGCTTCCAAACGGAAGCAGGGCAACGTGTGTCTTTCGAAAGCCTGGAACGACGATGGCGAAGATGTTGGGCTCAGGCTGTAAAAAAACCTAGACCTGAAACCATAAATCCGAAACCGTCGGTGGCCGTATAGTCCTGAGACATGGGCCTTCGCGACGGATCATCGGAACTTCGGGTATTAATGTTCAGGTTTCTAGGATTTTGGGGTTGGGGGTCTAGGGTTGCAGTTTGCTGAACATCGGAGATGCGTGTGTGTGTGTGTGTGTCTCTGTGCTACAAGGCGATGTCAATTCGGTAGCTCCTCTTCAGCATATTCCTCCAAATACAGAGCCTTAGCCTGAGACGACTCTTGCTAAATTAGCTCGTGAACCCCAGGCAGCCTGTTGATGCCGAAATCTTTGCATCAGACCCAAAAGGACAGGTTGATGCCAACCGGTGCAAGTTCCCACACTTTGCCTGCTAGACTGACTTCTCAAGAATTGCCCCTTACTCTCTAAACCCCCCAAACCCTAAACCCCCCAAACCGTAAACCCTAAACCCTCATTATGCGGAAAGGCCACTACACTTTTGAAGAAAGGAACCTCCCTAAAGGCTCCATGTACCTTTATGGTAGATACTTAGGCCTTCAAGTACCTTTTTAGGGACCCCCTTTAAGGCCTAAGTATCTAATTACTAGAAAGGTCCATGGAGCTTTTGGGCTCACTATGCAGAAGGGCCCTTCTTGCGGTGGTGATTTGCAGAGTTTCGACTTGAGGCCAAGGCTCCAGTTGCAGGTGGCCTGACAGAGGGCGCTGTAGTATAGGGGCCTTTAAAGAGATACGATAAAGGTTCTATAAGGGTTTAGCATAGGGGCCTTGATAATTAGAATAGGGTTTGGGGTATATTATACCTATAGTTATAACAAGGAACCCCCAAAACCCTGTTCTAAATAGTAAGGCCCCTACATTCATTAGGTGTCCAAGGCTTACAGGAACCCTTAAATAAAGGATCCTTTAAGATTTCCTACAAGGGTTACTATAAGGGCTCTATGGTTTAGGGTCTAAGACTCCATGTACCTATATACATTTATATACTTTGGCCTTAAAGTAGTCTCTTTACAGGTACATCAAGGCTTACTAGACCCTAAACCCTAAACCTGTAAGTATATACTACTGTAGCACTTGGGGACTTTGGGGTTGAGGGTTTCGGGCTTAGCTATCTGGGGCTTCCATAGTTAGGTGAATGCACCGCATTCTAAGTTTTCAGGCCTTACGTTTTATAATCAGATCCCCAGTCTTTAAATAACTATACCGTAACTGCTAAAATATACCCCCAAGGCCTTGTTCTAATTATAAAACAGATGCTGCAATGGAGACCAAGTCCTCTGAGCTTGGTGCAGCGCTGCGCAAGCTCGTCGAGGTTTTCTACGAGCGTGTTTGGAACGCGAAAGATGATAGTGCTCTATTCGCGATTCTTGCAGCTGACTTGCGGTTTCGTGGCTCAACGGAGGCTATTGACCGCGTTGGCCCTGAGGCTTTCAAGTCGTACCGAGATAAGATTCACCAGGCTCTGCACAGCTACACCTGCAAGATTGAAGACATCGTTGTGGATGGTGCCGTGGCATTCGCTCGTGCAACTTGGCTGCTCTAGGCTATCATTTACATGGACAGGTTTGTTGGTATTGCGGTTTTGCTTCTAGTTTGCTGTTCAGAAGCTGTGAATTGGAAACACCATGCAACAGTGCGGTCACATGGTAACAAGTAGACGATCATGTCTACAGCCACTACATCACACCACATCCCCGCGACGGCTTCACGACGACGACCACGTCGACGACTACTAGCCGCTGTGAGCAGCCTCGATACTTATAGCACATTTTGCCACAGCAAAGACACAGCATCTAGAGCTATGGCAAAGCTTCAAAATTCAAGAGTCTAGGGATAGTTCTCGAAGCCTTGACACGGGACCCTCAGTAGTTGAAGATTATCTGGAGTGCCCTGGGCCTTCTGAGGTCCTAAACCCTAAACCCTAAACCCTAAAAGGTATGGTTCAGCGGCATCCACTCCGGTGGCGACTTGTTGGGCGTGGCCCCGACGAAGCGGCGAGTGAAATGGGTTGGGGCGGCTCGTTTCGTCCTCGCCGAAGGGCCAAGAGGATCCCGGAGGTTCTCGAAATCGGAAAGTTTTTTGTTGAGGGTTTAGGGTTTAGGGTTTGGTGTTTAGGGTTTAGGGTTTAGGGTTTGGTGTTTAGGGTTCGGGGTTTAGGGTTCGGGGTTTAGGGTTTGGGGTTTAGGGTTTGGGGTTTAGGCGTGGGGTTTAGGCTTTGGGGTTTAGGGTTTCGAGTCATTCGAGGTGCATGCTAGATGAGGGTCCCTTTTTGGGGTCCCCAAAATCGTACAAAAAGGACCCTAGAAGGGACTTTCATTCTGGGAACTACCCATATCAGTCTTATAGCACCCACGACTCACCAACCTACTATATAGGCCTAAACCCTAAACCCTAAACCCTAAACCCTAAACCCTAAACCGTTCGAGTGCTGAACCCTCAACCCTGGAGAGACTGCAACATGCTCAAAGGTCGTCTGTTTGAAGGATTCAGGATCCCTACCATACTGCGGATGGACAAAATCCTGCATGACCGTATATACCTAAACCATGGGATTTGTGGTACCATACTATATTTGGGTCATGCAGAGTTTTGTCCATCAGCCGTAGTTTGTGGGTTCAGGATCCCTACCACAATTTGTTGGTTCAGGATCCCCACCATAATTTGTGGGGCAAGTTTGAACGCAAGTGTTGACAAGAAGGACCTTCCACCGCGCAGATTGGCGAAATTTGGGTGCTTGGTGATCTATATTCTCTGCAGAGGCAGTTGCAGGGCGAGGGTGGAGAGTGTGATCCTGTCGAAGATGTGGGCATGGACCACGTGAGTAGTTGACGGTTGCCAGAACGTGAGGCGTTCTCGTCGACCCTCTGCTGCACGTCTGTGAACAAAAATGGAGCGCTTTTCAGCCCGGCTTTCTCCCCCAAACTCGCCCAGAGTCTTAGATCCTAAGCCCTAAACCCTAAACCCTAAACCTACACTCTATAATTTACCAGCATAGCAGAAGCTCGATAGAGTTTCAGAGCAGTTTGAACCAGCCTGACATCCTCCACTCCAAAAGAAACTCGAGCCCCGTACCCTCAACCCCGAATCGACCTAAACCCTAAACCCTAAACCCCTAACCCCTAACCCCTAAACCCTAAACCCTAAACCCTAAACCCTATGACCATGAGGTTTAGGGTTTGAGGTTTTGGCTTCAGGGCTCAAGCCCTGAGTCAGTCCCGAAATGCCTGAACCAGAGGCTCTCCCACCCTTACCCTAAGGCTCAAAATAGCCCAAAAGCCTTTCATAGTAGGGTCTTTGGGCCCAAAAGCCTTAAAATATGAGTCCTTAGAGCCTTAGGGTTACAGAAGCCCAGCCTCTCGTCTTCCTGAAAACTAGTGTGCGTTGCATATTACCTATGGGGTCATACCCTACCCCTTTTTTAAGGTACCTAGTTATTGTTATGAACTGCTATATAAAAAAGTAGGTACCCTAAAAAAGGGGTAGGGTATGACCCTATAGGTATCGTATATTCTAGTACGTCGTAGCATGCATGATAGTGCAGTATAGTCTTTGCTATGGTATATACTACAACCCCCGTAATTTCCCCAGGCTCTAAACCCTACAGCCTAAGCCTTAGAAGCGCATCCGAGAACGCCGATTTCCATAGCACGAAACCTCAAAGGGCACGATTTAGGGTTCAGGGCTTAGGGGTTTAGGGGTTTAGGGTTTAGGGTTTAGGGGTTTAGGGGTTTAGGGGTTTAGGAGTTTGGGTTTAGGGCCTGGGGTTTAGGTTTGTTTTTGGATTCTGTGGAGTTTTCGCTGTACCTGGACCCCAGAAGCATGCAGAAGAGTGGCAGTCTTTAGATGTTGGGCAATTGTTGTACCTACTTGTGTGGGTTTGGGTAGGTTCTAGGGTTAGGGTTCGTGGCTTAAACTTCACGTATATATACATACATACATAAGTTCACCCTCTCTTGTAGAAGCCTCTAGAACACAGCCCAAATGCTCAATCCTAAACGCTAAACCCTAAAGTCTCGATCCTAAACCCAAAACTCTCTAAACTCTCGTCCTAAGCCCTAAACCCGAAAGTTCGTCACCATGACGTACCAGATGGCAAGTGAGTAGCAGTACACGTCTCGTCTGTACTAGGCGTTCCGGATGTTCAGGCAGACGGAAAAAAGGCTCAATCCTTCAGGCCCTATACCCTAAACTCTCAACCATAAACCCTGCAGCCTCAATCCTAAACCCTGAGGTCTCAATCCTTTTGGCCCTAAACCCCAAAATCTCAACCCTAAGCCCTACCTGGGTCGCGTATCCAAAATGTCTTT